TACGCGCTCTGAAAGCCATCCCGGAAGGCGACTTTAATTCTTGTTTCGAGGACTGGAAAATACGTTGGCATAAGTGTATTGTGTCGGGAGGGGATTACTTTGAAGGCGACGAAATAGATTTGGAAGAATAAATAAATATTTTTTGAAATAAATAAAAACTGGTTTTACTTTTTGGACACAGTAGTATTTGCAACCTCAAGAGAATCGTTTAGCAATTATGTTATTATTTTAATATCTGCATTGGAATCTGCATCTATATGTGGAAGAAATATAAGAGTGTCCATAATATAAGATGTGTTTCATTCTACTATGTATAAGAGTAATTTTTGTAATTTTATATATGCCAGAGAGAGAGAGAGAGAGAGAGAGAGAAAGAGAAGGATGAACAGAGGGTGGGAGAGAGAGAGAGAGAAAGAATATTTGAATTAATATAGAGAGAAAACTAATTTTTGCATCAAAAATGAATTTTTCCAAGCTCGATGAAAAAACCCGAAAAAACTCAAAAAATGTTTTCTCCTTTTTTTCTAATCTTTGGAAATACTAATAATAACATTGGCACTATGTGGGATTGGTTGTATTCTGATATTCACTATCAGTCCTGAAAATCTGTAGCATACAAGGATTATAGATTTTTTGAAATAAATATTGTAATGTCAATGTATATTAGTTCAGAAAATTCTTTGAAAAAAAACAAATCTAACGACACTGTCGTTAGAAGCTACAAAATAGATCTACAGGATAAAATAAACTCATTTATGCATATTTTGATTATGTGAATTTTAACTTCCATCTTTAATTCAATAAATATCCATTTTTACTTTCATTTTTGTTCCATATAACTGAATAATCTGATCTTTCTCGGTTAATACCTTCTTAATCGATAATGACTTACCTTAGCTATCCATTTACTAATATTTGGAATGTCCAAATATTGGCTAGCTTCTGTGACGTCCCGAACAATGTCCGGCCACACGGCCATCAATTCACGACTCTCATCTTTACTTGTCACCCAACTCGTCGGTTGCGTCATGGAATGAGTCATTCGTATATTACAGTCTAATGTCCTAAAGAAATTAACAAATAAATCGGATTATATTACAAACAGCAAAAGACAATAATGGTATATTTTGTTTGTAATATATATTATAACAATATCGCAAATAAGAAGAGCAGGTTTAAATAAAAATTGATGGAATAAAAGTAACTTTACCCAGGTAATACTCGTTATTTTGTATAACAAAAAGATCTTACAAAGGTAAAAAATACCGCAAGTATATAAAAACGGGTAAGACGGATGTTTGTACCTAACAAAAAGCTTCTTACAAAAACCTAACAAAAATTCCTTATAAAAATCTCTATAAAATACTCATAAAAATACAATATAAAAAAACCTAACAAAAAATATGTATAAAACAACAAAAAATTGTATATGTGTAAATTAAAAAACAATAGTTTTAAAAATTAACTTTTTTCAAAAATAGACATGAAATCAATATCAATACAATTAACCAAGTACATAATTGTATATTATTAGTATTTTACAAAAGTGATACCCTCCTAGCAAAAATACAATGTAAAGCAAGCATTAATAAAGCGTAATTTGGAACGTAAATATAATGTAAGAGAAGAGTGGAATGGAAGTGTAAGGAGAAGTCATACTAGGTGTAAATTGAAACATCGGAACGTAAAAAAAATGGCTATTAAGTGTTAGACAAGCGTTAACGAAGTATCGCGAAATTCTTCGAAGCGTAAACAAAACAGTTTGAAAATGTAAACGAAGCATTATCCAACTTCCAAGGAGCGTAAACAAAGTGTTATAAAATTGTTCGGTGAACGTGAATAGAATGTTGCCGAGCTCCTCAAGGGGCGTAAACTAAGTATCATCGTACTGTCCAGCAAACGTAAATGAATTGTTGTCGAGTTCCTGAAAGAGCGTAAACAAAGCGTTATCGAGCTGCCCAGCAAACGTAAGTGGAATATTGCCGAGCTCCTCATAGGATGTTAGAGGAAAGTAGCTAAAAGCGAAATAGGCCTCCTAAAGCGACATACCTCTATATCTCATATACTAAATGTTGTATTTTATCGAAACTAATATAAACGTAATTCGTTTTATCAGTTAAGCCATGAAAAATTCATACTTGGTATATTTCTTGTTCTTTTATGTGCTAAATTAGCAAATATCGAGTTTTAGAAATTCGCAAGTTTTACTTCTATGATTTTTATTGACGAATTACGTAGACTAAATAGTGATAATAATCTTTTTGTTTAATATTAAATTCTTCTACATGCATTTGGCTTTTGTACAAATATCTTTTAAATATTTTTATCTTCATTATTTTTTTACTGTATAACTTGAAAAATTTTATAAAAATATGTCTTAAAGTGACATATCCCCTACAGTATACGATAGGTGCAATACTCTGTGACCTGACCTGATTCTAACCTTTCATTGTGACGTGCATTTGTTTATTTTAAAGTTTAATTTTGTTTAGTTTAAAAATATAACATATATAAAATATGTGAGAAATGAAAAGATGAAAACGCCAAAGATATATTTTTATTTAATTATATTTCCCTTTTGTAACATTATATTTTGAATAAATGAATATTATTCAATCATTAAACGCATTAATAAACTATTTATTATCAAATATTATCATATATGCAATATGTTATATAACTTTCACTAAGTATGTATGTCGCTTTTGACACCCATTTTCATTGAACTCCATTTTCGTGCGTTTTACAAAAACATTTTTGATGTTAAATCTAGAAACAATTTCATTATAAATATGATATTATATCTGATAAAGGGTACTTCTAACTACATTTATATATATATTTACATCTATATTTTGAGCTTTGCATTAAGACATAACCTCCAAAAAAGTGGTATGTCGCTTTTGGATTTCTTTACTCTAACAAAATATCATTGAGCTATCTGGCGAACGTAAATGGAATGTTGCCGAGCTTCGCGAGGAGCGTAAACAAAGGTCATCAAGTTGCTCGGCGAACATGAATGGAATGTCTAGACAGCATAAAATATTTATATAAAACATTTACATTTATATATAACATTATTATATATAAAACATTTATAATATTTATTTAAATATTTTATAAATATTTCCCAAAATATTGCATAAATATTTTTGTGACTTTAGATTCAATAAATCATAAATATTTATCAGAAATATTATAAAAATATTCATTAAAATATATACATATTGAAATTGAGGAGTAAATAAAGTGTTAACAAAAAGTGACGAAAGTGTAAGTGAAGCGCTTACAAAGCGTAAATTGAAAATTTACGGAACGTACAGCAAGCGGGTATACTTAACCATTTGCTTTACGTTCCGATGTTTCAATTTAGGCTTCCCTTATAGAAATATCATACTAAGAATCATTGATAATTACTTATTATCCAGTATTTTTAATACTGAAAATAAGTAATTATCAATGATTCTTAGTATGATATTTCTATAAGGGTTTGTAAGCGCTTCACTTACACTTCCGTCACTCTTCATTTACACTTTACTTACTCTCCAATTTCAATTTTCATCAGGGTATTTATATACATTTTTCTCTTTTCCTGAATTTTTCTTAAATTCTCCACTCTCCTTTCTCTTTATTGTTTTACACGCCACTTAATTCCATTTAAATTGTACTTCAAAAATTTGCTTACCACTGCCGAGATTCGAACCTAAGACCTCTAGTTCTTGAGTCGTTCATCTTATTAGGTGTACAATTTTGCTTCCGCCATTTTTTTCCGAAATTCGAGGCTTTATTGTAAAAAACTGGTTATACATTTATGATTCAAAGTATTGTCCATCGCTGGCCACTACTTTCTCCCATCTGTCGGGCAGCGTACGAATCTCGCGTCGAAAAAACTGGTCATCTTTTGAGGCAATCCACGAATCGATCCAATTTTTTACTTGTTTATAAGACCGTAAATGCTGGTCAGCCAGGTCGTATGCCATTGATCGAAACAAGTGATAGTCAGAGGGAGCAACGTCTGGAGAATACGGCGGGTGGGGTAGGACTTCCTATTTCAACTTTTCCAAGTATGTCTTGACCACTTTAGCAATATGGGGTCGAGCATTGTCATGCTGCAAAATCACTTTACCGTGTCTCTCGTTGTATTGCGGCCGTTTGTCTTTCAATGCTCGGCTCAAACGCATCAATTGCGTTCGACACCGATCGCCTGTGATTGTTTCAGTCGGTTTTAACAGCTCATAATACACTACGCCGAGCTGGTCCCACCAAATACAGAGCATGACCTTGCAGCCGTGAATATTCGGTTTGGCTGTCGACGTGGAAACATGGCCGGGAACTCCCCATGATTTTCTGCGCTTGGAGTTATCGTAATGAACCCATTTTTCGTCCCCAGTCACAATGCGATGCAGAAATCCCTTCCGTCTTTGCCTTTCAAGCAGCTGTTCACAAGCAAACAAACGCCGTTCAACATTTCTCGGCTTCAATTCGTACGGCATCCAATTTCCTTGCTTCTGAATCATTCTCATGGCTTTGAGGCGTTTTGAAAGGCTTGTTGAGTCACTCCCAATGATCGTGCCAATTCTTCTTGATTTTGACACGAGTCTTGATCAAGTAATGCCTCCAATTCTGCATCTTCGAAAATCTTCTCTCTTCCACCGCTATGTCGGGCTTCGACGTCAAAATCACCGTTCTTGAAGT